CGTTTTTTGACTTTGAAGAATAAAGCATGCCATTTTCTACCAAGAATTTCGATGTGTATCTTTTTCTTTTGCAGTCAGGAAGAACGTTTAAATTTGAATAAGAAGTCAGAAGATGATCTGGGTTAGAATTCTTGCGTAGAAGAGGACGAAGAGAACATTTGCTTGAACCAGTAGATGAAAGAACTAATGAAAGCTCGAGTAAATGACAATATCCACAGGACTAGGGCCCGGTTATGGAAGAAATCGGTCACAATTTCGCTCGAACGCACTTGAACGTAACGAAAGAAACCTACAAATTCCGTCCGCCTTGGTCGTCGTTTGCCGATTGGTAATCTTCTTTCAAAATTTTTCATCTAAATGAACAAATAGAAGTCAAGTTTATTTAGGGAGTAGATGTGTAGCCATTACTAGATCGAAACGCTTAGGCTGCCTCATTTAGGTTAGGTTGATGTTAAGGTGTGTGCGTTCTTTTCGAGTGTCAGGTCCAACTCGTTTAACATAGTACATCCTAAGGGTAAATCAGCGTGTAACTGGTGCACTCTTACTGCAGTTGCTTGCAAAGTTTTGTTGTGGCTTCTGCCTAGCCGATTACTGTTTTATGTTGCCTTCACTGCTGAGCATAAATGTTAACGTAGTTTATGCTTTTTCACGTGTATACCTGCACTTCAGTTTTGTTTTAGTTTTCTAATAAATTTTCGGAAACTGGGTGTTTCATGTTTTTACTTCACTTTTATCTAGTTTGGGGTTAAGTTTGGCACTGTTCTTTGTTTCATATCGCGTCAGATTTTCCACCACAAGCAACACGCCCCCAAGTCTGTGTTAACGTGCAGTTGAGAACTTGACTTGCTTCTGCATTGTGGTTTGCCCAACAGCGGCCTGTTTCCTGTTCTGTTGGTTCTGAGCTTCAGTCTCGTCCTACCGGCTGCCTTCAGTTGGTTTGGACGGCTATCCGGTGTAATCGTGGCTTCTAGGGTGTGTACCAGGGCTTGTGGAGGTTCCTTGAAATCTTGATAATTTTAGGTCGTCAAATTTAGCGCAAGCTTGCAAATAAGCAGCCGTGGTAGGAACCGTTGTTTCAAACCAAGTATGGAGCCGTGCAACAGTTGGTGGCCGTTTTCCCTGAGCCGTAGAGTGGGCTGCGATGCGCACAAGTTTTACGTTTGAATTCGTATGGGCTCGAAAATATATACCAACGCGGTGCTCTTTGCCTGTCCACACACATGCTTCTCTCAGGCCTCTGTCGGCCACCGTCCTGTCCAGCAAATCGATAAGGGAAGTTGTTTGCGCCTCTTGCGGCTAGAATTTGCCTCGATAGTGTGACTAGTGCCTGCCGAGTCCTAGTGGGCGCAGCATCCGGTCGTCATGGGCCTTCAGGTACGTGACCGGGGGCGAGAGGTGATTCCTCGTAGGACATCAGCGGAACGTCGGGCCGGGTGCTTAGTGCCCGATGGACCCTGCCAGTTTGCCGGGTCGCAAGGTTCGCCATGCCCATCAGGTCAGGTTGGGCGCAACGTCGTGGTCTGGAGGTAGAGTGCCGCCAAGTTCGCACGGTCGCAGATCCGGCAAACCAGCGCCTGCGGGTTGGCCGCGGGATGTCAGTCACCAGTAGATTATTGCACTCGCCGTCTTACAGATTTTGGCCTCGCCCGAAGGGCCAGGACGGAAACGGGAGCCATGCCCTACGTGACAGCGGACGCTGTCACCGAAATAGGCGTAGTTTAGAGCTGTGCCCTGATGCTAGGGGTGGACGAAGGAAGCGCGGGGTTGTCCTGCACTCGTACAAGCTATTTCAGCGTCGGGGGCAAGGATGCCTTTCCTTAAGGGTGTGTTAGCAAACATCCGTTAGGCGCGGTTGCCATCAGCGGTCGTCGCCTCGGCCATGTATGACGACCTGGGAGGACAGGATTGGTAGCGGGTGGTGTCGACGTATCGATCCTCTGCGTGGGCTAGTGCGATCCTCAAAACCTGGATGGCTGGCTATCATGACCTTGATTGCACCACCGAGGAATCGTGAATGAGCTCATGCCTGGGAATAGTCGCAGGGCCAACTCGGAGAGTAATCGACCCCCGAGACGCAGCTGCGGATTGTGACCCACTAAGGTGCAGTGAGGTGTTTGGCTCTATCCGATCACAATGCTCTCCGGCTGCCTGTTGTTGGACCAGTGATTGGTTCGCAGCCCGTCTGGATTACTGGGAACCTAGCACTGGGCAGCACATGGCCCATGATTTTCTGTTGCGAATGAGTTTGGCGCAGCTTGGCGTCTGAGTTAAAGTCAGTCCTGGTCATCGGCTACGCTTCCCCAGATTAAGGCTGAGGAAAGTATATGCTGCCTTCTTGAGCGCCTGCTGCCGCGCTAGGTTGGGAATCACGTCGATTTGCTGTTTGGCGGGCGGGTGTGTCAGCGTGGGTGACAAACCTAGTCATCGACAGAGCTGACCGGCGCCCTGCTGTTAGATGTTCTATGTTAGAGTAAGAAAGACGTCTCACACGTGCAACGTGCTCTACCTGCCGGTGTGTGCTTTCTCGCTGCAAGATTCAGTCAAGAAAATAGTCGAGTCGGAGTTGTTTTGCTCTACCGCTGCGCCTCTGCAATACTGCCTATCAAGAGTTAGTTGACTCGCGGTGTCCCTGCCACCTATTGTGGCATCGGCTGGCAATGTCTCCAGCACAGGGCCTCGATGTCGACTGTGGACATCCGCCGACGATGCGATGCAAAGTCGTCGTCTGGACTTCGTCTATCGACTGGGGGACCTGCCTGCAACCTCATCTTATTGAGTCCATGTTTGAACAATCATTGCCTTGTTTGCCAGTCAAACTGTACAGAGTTGGTTAAGACTGGTCCGGGAGTTTGGTCTGCGATGCATGAGCCGCACTGGTCCGCAACGCTATGGGCCATTGTTGGAGGGCCGTCAGAGACCAGTCCGTACTTCCACGTCCCTAAGTCCCAAGCCTGTACCAAGATAGTCTGCAGTCCCGGCCCAGCGATGCGTGCGGGTATGGGGATCCAAGTTCCCTGCTGACCCGGTTTCGGGAGCGCCCAAGGTGCCTGCACCAAGTATGAAGAGATGCAAGACGTCTTAAAGGAAGTATGACGTAAGGAAATTAACCAGTCTAGCATTCCCCCCCCCCCATTGAAATACAAGTATTACAAGATGGACTTAGGGAATTTGGAATCGCTGCGTGAAGCTGGCGTCTGCTTTGAATCTCTGCATATTTCGTAGGGTCCATACTAGAGATTTTTGGGTAAAAGTCTCGTGCGTGACAAAAATCATCATGGCTACTTCGGTGCTCAGGGCCCGCAGTAAGTTGGGCTGCACCCACCCTGCGCAAGCAGCCCACGCCAGGTGAAACAAGTATATCTGGGTACGAGGACGATCCCCTATGTGGATGTGCCCATCTTATTCTCAAAAATGAAAAGCTATCTATAAAGATCGATGAGCTAAAGTGGCTGGTGCACCGGAATTTGGTGTCTAATGGGAGATGAGGGCCATAAGTGCGAAAGGCACAAAGGGGCAAAGATGATAAAGACCGCGAGAGTTAACATGGGCACGTGGGCATTACTAATTGCACAATATCCGTAGGAAAATCTCCAACAGGGAAAAAATTCTGCATCAACTCGAGTGGAGGCTTGCCAACCGCAGTAAACTACAAATACCCAGCGTGACAGATGAGAACAGCAATGTGCATTTTGTTGTCCTGAGGAATTACAGTTGGGGACTCCTGTCATACGACAGTGTCGAGGTGGAAGGTATGGAGGGATACTGTGTAGTCCATCACACTAGTCGGCCCAACCGGAGTTGCGTGCATGGAACTAGGCCTATTGTATACGAATGGCAGCATGTTATTGTAGCTTAATTAATTAAAACTTACCATACCGAACTAACGCCAAACGTAGTGGCAGCAAACGAAACGTGCCCATGCAGAAACGTCACTGACAGTGGAATAATATTACCCAGGTACCTAGTACTTAGGCTGGACGGAAAGACTGTCACGATGACCGGCCAACCACGTATGTGACGGATGTCCTAATTGCGCCCTAAGATTGCCGATTTTCCTGCGACACGAAAGTTATTTGATTATAGACACTATTGGCACCTTGACTCATGATATGCTTACTGTCCTCCAAGTCGCTGACGTGTTAATGGAGGGAGGGCTTCCTAAGTCGACCGACTATAATGATCATGAACGGATAAAACGGCTTGACTGGAACTCCGATCGCTCCCAATGTTCAGCATTAACCATCTACCCATCTCGTACTAAAGTTTGAAGACGTTACTCAAGGGGGAGGTAGTTCCGACCAGAACACGAGCTTTCTTAGAACCGAAAGATACTGATTCTTCAAGCATAAAATCTGAAGGAGACGTGATTCGCTACCAAATTAGTGAGAGAAAGCTTATTTTTCGACATGTTTTCTATGAGGATATCGAAAGTCGGCAGTAAAAGTGCGGGCGACTTAAGTAGCCATCTGGGCAGAGTAGAAATGCATTCTAAAGCCTGCTGAATTATCTTGGGTTTGTGCTGCATGATGTTCAGTATGGCATCCCGAGTGGAGTACTTCATAGTCGAGAACGCATTTCATGCCTTCAGTTGGCATTTCGTGTGATCGGTCACTATAGGTGGAAGTTGGTTTGCGAATGAATGAAGACACCCATCACTTACAGTCGTGTTATGACTGGGTTTCTTCACTCACCGCGTAGCAGGATCGACTAAAAGCCGAAGCGCTGTTCCCGATAAAAGACTGCTGGTAGAGATAGGTAATTTCGACGAAGACTGGGGCCGTACTTAACGCCTGGAAGCAAACTTAGGTGGGCTCCATACTTGAAGCCATTTTCCCCGCTATGAGTTCAGAAAGGGCGTTAACAGCAGAATTTATGAGTACCAATAGATTTTGCGATAGTTCGTCAACTGCCATTTGTCAACGGAACATACAGCAGGTTGAATTTGTGCGAAAAAATAAATGCGGAAACAGAAATGTCATTGTTCAGGGCACACAGTCTAATCAGTGGAACTGACAACCTAAAATGACGAAAGGGAAGGGGAGGGCTAACAATACAAGAAGAGTTGTGTCAATCAAAGCTCCTAAAACGTAAATATTGATTTTTACACGTATTCTTGCGGTAAACAGGTCGCCAGGCTGTACCATCGTCTTGTCTAAACATTACGCATTCCGAAGAACGAGAATCATATGCTCTATTGGGGGTGGAACTGACCTATGTGACCTCCTAAGCAGGACGTGCACATAGGTACCCCCCCCGTGAGTAATAAGGATGGACCTGCGCATAATCCCGGAAAGCGCAAAATATTCCCGTGTCCTAACCCTGTCCTCACCATAACTCGGCAGTCAACAGTAGTTCCTACCTTAGCCCTAAGCTTGATTCGGACTAACCTTTAACTGAAGTTGGACTTTAATTTAGGTGTAGCCTTACACCTAATCCTTAACCCAACCCTAACCTAAAGCCTAACCCTTATTTCACTGGACGTTCCCTAATAGCAGTGAGTCACGAATCAGATCCGAGTCGGAGGCGGACCGAAGCGTCAGTTTCGATTAGCCGGATCCGAATCGGATATACGTTCGTCAAGTGAATGGGCTCCGACATTTCGTAACTCAAATTTTCATCCGAACGGCGGCCTACTTATATTCGCTACCAGCGACCCCCACCCCACCACCCTGGTTTTGCTTTACCACCCAGTTTATTTATAGCTGACAGCATTTAAGTAAAGCAAGAAAGGTTGTCCCCTTGGAAAATGTGAAAAATTTACTTAAAATGTAAAACATGTGCAATGTGCAAAAGTGCAGTTTATTGCTGCGTTGACAGCCCAGTCTCGCCATCTCCATGTTGCGAATCCGCAAACAAAATATGTACGAGCATTAAGCACTAACCAAGTAGACGAAAAAGACACTAGAAAGTTATTGCTCAAGTGTATTGTTTGCAATGACTGAATTTTTACTGTTAGTTTCCATATCCATATGTGAACTTTGCAAGTTTTAAAAAGTTTGCATATTCGATTACTTTGAGAATATGTATGCTACATGTACCTTATAGGTCATATTATGAATAGACTCGCAATTTGTGTTGGATTTAATACTCCGTTTAAGTAAGCCATCGTATGTCCGTTTAAAGGCGTTCTTAGTGCCCTTTCCAACTGGTGACGTTCAGAGCGCTGTTCTCGATTCCAGTTGTTGAAGACCTCTGTAATAAATTTCATAAGTTTACAGATATCGCAGATCTTACCTAGAGCCAAATTATAAAGATGCGTTCCGAAGGACGGCTTCATCCCCTGTCGGCGACCATAGAAGGTTACATAACAGGTTATTCTTTCGGAGAACAGCGCCCCGAAAATTCTATCGACGAAAGACACAACCGTGTCCCCGCCAAGAGTAGACAAGTACATCATCTAGAACAGTTGTGTACAGTTTCGTCACATAACATACCAGTTGTTGGCGATATGAATTATCGCCGAGGACACTAACGAGGACGTCCAGCTCATCCAGGGTCTCCATCTGCGTTAACAATGGTCCGGAGACTGCAGATGTACAGGTGGAGGAACCCCGGAGGCCTTGAAACAGATCCATCACTGTTACCTTTTGATTACGTAACTGAGCGATCTGGTGCAGCAGTACTGCTTGCGACTCCAAAAGCCATCTCATGCCTCGTCGTTTACAACGCTGCTGCCCATGAGCAGATGAGCGTCCTGTGCGCCTAGGCGTACTAAATGGGCGACTAATGCCTAGAAAGGTCGCATAAGGAAAATGGAAGCTTACCCGCGTACAGGTGGCACTAGAATCCGTTGCCTCGCCCTCGAATTCCTATAGCAGAAAATCTGTAGATAACTGATAACCTTTTCGACGGGGATGCCCACTCTGGCATATCGCCCATCACCCAGGTGATTGGGTCATGTGGTGTTTTAGGATTCCTCCACTTGCGTCCATTTTCACTCGGCGGAAGTTCGCCAGACATGGTTGTCTGCAACCCAACAGGAAAACAAGAGGTTAGTGGAGGGAATGCTATTTAAGTAACTACTGCCTCCATTCACAATCCACGAATCAATAATTGAGGGACTGTTGGGTTGTAGGGTTCGTGGATAGTGACTGATAAACGGTGAGAGCAACAGTGAAACTGACCTTGTCTGCCGAGAATGAGGGAAAATTACCGTCCATTGTCCTCATCATTTCGTCGATAGTGCCTAGCCAGCCACGCACTGCTGATAGTCCGCGTCCCAACGTCCATGGATTTCCACAAAGACGAACTCATCTTCGACTGGGACACAAGCGTACTTACGCACCGACATCGGCATTGGGAAGGTCTTGAGTACACTTCCTAAAGTAGCCTTAAAAGTTGAAATTTGCGATGACCTGATAGGGTGCTAAAAATAATCTTCTAAATCATCGTACTCAACATACACTACTGAAACGATCCCCGATTGATATCGGAGGATGTTGCGGATGTAAACTAACCTACCGTCGACCACGACTGATCCGTCAGTGGGTGTCGTTCCGATTAGCAGATTATTCTCTGAATAAACCTAAACTGGGTAAATGACCCATCCACTTCTGGCAATGGGCCATTTGAATGTTCATATTTGACAATTCAATACAGTGGGCTGCTTATTGCCCGACAATCACCAGGCATTTCAGCTAGCCTGCGTACTATTTGCTGCAGTGGCTGCGATGGTTTTCTAAGCATTCGCTTTAGTTTTTCTATGGAAGTTTCAAATGCGAACGAAGATAAACTATCCAACTGGCCATGCCGTAGGACATCATCTTATGGGTGGACAATACTGTGAACATTATACACCATTTCGAACCTACCATCTAAGGACGGAAGTTTGTCAACAAATATACGCAGCAGATGCCTGCACTAGGGAACCCACTACTTGCAGGACTGAGGCCGAACCATACGACAAATAATAAGAGATGCTTCGTATATCTACGGGGAAGAATATCGCGCATGACCACCACACCAGTGTAAAGCAGAAACTGACGCAATTCCCTGCCTTTCTATGTGTCTACCTCACTTAGAGACCTAGCACGCTGCGAAAGTGGTCGCAACAGGTACGCATTGAGCGATTTTAGCCTTTCATTAACTGTACTTATCGTTGCCCTACACAACCCCAAAGGCATTTATTTCCCTTGGGCTTCGAAGCCACAAGTTCAGCAGCGTCCTCATTACACCTATATAAACTAAATTAAGAGGGTCTAGAGGGGAAGAGCTTATAATTTCAAGGTTAAAAGCTAGCGTGGGTGAAATACCAACCCGGTGGTAGTCATCAGGGAGGGGGTGTATAGAAAGTCCTCATCCACCCTAGCCCGATCTGAGACTTTGTCATAGACTACCTTGTCTAATTATTTCCCCATTACACAACATATTTCACAACCATAATACGCATTAACGTTCTTATTTTGTTTTATAAATGCCCTAGCAGGCGCATCACAGATTACGGCTGCAAGGCGGAACGGCAGGGTTCTGTCGATGACGTCGACACGCAGACCACAACTACCTAGGATTAATAACTCTTCTACTAGCGGTCTGCAAAGTGACTGTACGTCGGCCGGCTTTCCATGGCCAATTGGCTCAAAGCCACCCGTATCGCAGACGGTTCCTGTTCAGATGACCTATTTGGGGGGCCATATAAGTTAGTCCTACCCAACTGAGACACTAGACGTGTAAATTGCCTTGAAGTGACCTTGCTTAAATGTGGTTACCCAGCGCGTTTCACCCAAAAGTGTTGCAACTCCTTGTGGTAAAAACCGATGGAAAAGATGGTTCCGAAATAGTCCGTACCAATATCTTTAGCCTTAAAAAGCGACAAAGTTTCAAATGTAATCAAGCGACCCTATGGTGAACTATTTCAATGACTTATAACGCAGCCAAACTCATACTTAGCAGTCATGCTAAGGATATTCTAGTTCAGAGGACGAAAGATGCCCTGACATTGCATGCCACATTGGAATATATTTATGAATTCACGTTCACTTGCGGATGCAAGTACATTTGGCGCAGGCAAGGATAACTAGCAGTGAGGACAGTTGAGCATTTTCCTAAATGGTGTTTAAAGGGGGAAAATGAAATTCCCCGTCCCTCAGTAACAAAATGCATTCTTGATTGCGGCCGCTCTACTGACTGTAAACCAGCACTTCGAGTATTCAGAAGACGAGGTGGCGAGCATACGTAGCTTTCGATAAATTCTCGTCGGGCCAGTACAGTTATATGAGAACGGGGTAGAAGAAAAACACGTCAGCGATAAGAAAATCGATAAAAGTTCTACTTAAAACACGGGCGGGG